CACCTCTCATAAGGGATTAGCTGTTGATTTTTGCGGCCTGCGTTGACATTTTTTTCATAAACAATTCTTCAGATTTAGTGAGAGCTACTCTACTGATTGAGTTTGTAACTCTTGACATAAAAAGCCTTTTTTTCTTGTGTTTTCTTCTGTTTGTTCTCACTCCTTCCACGGAAATTCTTATTACCAACACCATTTCCTATATTAAATCAATTTTTCGCTTAGTGACTGTTGTCAGACATTTTCAGTTTCTTTCCGTTTCGTTAAGTTCATTATTTCATTCATTTTCTGCATACTTTGGATCTGAAGTAAACTTGCAATGTCCTGGTTTGGTTCTATGGTTGAATTTCCCTGTCTTGTGTCCGTTTTTGCTTTGATTGTTTTGTTTCTTTCTTTTATCTACTACAAGTGCAACCTTGTCATAAATAATCTATTTACACATAGTGATGTATTTGAGTAGAAGGGTTTCTTGCCTCATGTTTACATCCTGATTTTTGGCTTCCTAGCTCTCTTTAGACAAGCAGGATGATGTACTTCATTTTTGGAATAATTGATCTTATTACTTTTTCATGCATTGTTCACACAAATTGACGTTATTTTCTCAGGAGTAAGGTGACGCATGACAGTATTCGCCATCTAGAAACAGCATTATTATTCATTGGCATTCAGCTTATGCCCACTTGTCACAGCACAGCACGGCCCGTCAAAATACGGATAGGATTGGAACAATGAAAATGAATGGACCAGGGCCCACTAGCCCGCCACGGCACAGCCAAGACCGTCCTCCGCCTTAAAGGATTCCAGCTCTTCAATCGGAAATACTGGAAAATTTTCTCCTTGTCTTCTTTCAGATCGTTGAAAAGATGATGAAACTCTCCCAGATTTGTCTTTTGATAAATGGGGTGGACCGACAACATTCTTTTTTGTGACTGTTTTCCTTGAAATCGAACAAACGGCACCTTCAGTATGCTGGTTGTCGCTGGACAAGTGGGCGATGCTACTACCCGTCGCCATTAGGCGACGGACAGCGCCATGCTGTGCTGTGCCGGACAAGTGAGCAACGAGCTTTCTTCTCTGATATTTGACAACACTACTTTGTTTACATACAAAATAAAAAAAAAATGAGGCTGCTTTATATCTANGACAGAATTTATTTTAAATCATGTTATGCATTCAATACATTTATGATAGGTCAAAAAGAGTGCAGATGCACGCTGTACTGAGTGCAAAATTAAAAGATAATATACAATTATTAATGATCCTAATGTGCTACACTCAAACAAGAGTTGTGTTGTGATCATGTTTCTCATAGTGTTTTGTCACGCAGTTTCTTGGTCCTTGATGAAAATATTAAAATTCAATATTTATAGTTTAATGGACGAGATTTATTCATACATCGGATGATTCTCTTCTAAACTTTGAAGATATGTTTTATGAGTGCAGCGTCTCCCAAAAAGATCAGATCGTACCGTGATCTCGACTAAATCAAAACATGGTATGAGTTTGAAGTGGAGATTGAACGTGAGATGGGTTATCTAGGAAGTGTTGCCCCAGTTCAAAGTTGAAATTTTTGTACAAAGCTCTTTTATTGACGAATTGTTTGATATAAGGTTCCACACCTCTCACAAGGGATTAGCTGTTGATTTTTGCGGCCTGCGTTGACATTTTTTTCATAAACAATTCTTCAGATTTAGTGAGAGCTACTCTACTGTTTGAGTTTGTAACTCTTGACATAAAAAGCCTTTTTTTCTTGTGTTTTCTTCTGTTTGTTCTCACTCCTTCCACGGAAATTCTTATTACCAACACCATTTCCTATATTAGATCAATTTTTCGCTTGGTGACTGTTGTCAGACATTTTCAGTTTCTTTCAGTTTCGTTAAGTTCATTATTTCATTCATTTTCTGCATACTTTGGATCTGAAGTAAACTTGCAATGTCCTGGTTTGGTTCTATGGTTGAATTTCCCTGTCTTGTGTCCGTTTTTGCTTTGATTGTTTTGTTTCTTTCTTTTATCTACTACAAGTGCAACCTTGTCATAAATAATCTATTTACACATAGTGATGTATTTGAGTAGAAGGGTTTCTTGCCTCATGTTTACATCCTGATTTTTGGCTTCCTAGCTCTCTTTAGACAAGCAGGATGATGTACTTCATTTTTGGAATAATTGATCTTATTACTTTTTCATGCATTGTTCACACAAATTGACGTTATTTTCTCAGGAGTAAGGTGACGCATGACAGTATTCGCCATCTAGAAACAGCATTATTATTCATTGGCATTCAGCTTATGCCCACTTGTCACAGCACAGCACGGCCCGTCAAAATACGGATAGGATTGGAACAATGAAAATGAATGGACCAGGGCCCACTAGCCCGCCACGGCACAGCCAAGACCGTCCTCCGCCTTAAAGGATTCCAGCTCTTCAATCGGAAATACTGGAAAATTTTCTCCTTGTCTTCTTTCAGATCGTTGAAAAGATGATGAAACTCTCCCAGATTTGTCTTTTGATAAATGGGGTGGACCGACAACATTCTTTTTTGTGACTGTTTTCCTTGAAATCGAACAAACGGCACCTTCAGTATGCTGGTTGTCGCTGGACAAGTGGGCGATGCTACTACCCGTCGCCATTAGGCGACGGACAGCGCCATGCTGTGCTGTGCCGGACAAGTGAGCAACGAGCTTTCTTCTCTGATATTTGACAACACTACTTTGTTTACATACAAAATAAAAAAAATTAGGCTGCTTTATATCTACATCTCTTTCTGGCCTGTTTTGTTTTGCTGTACCGTTCATAACTACACATAACCACAAAGAATGCGCTTTCTAGTCATAAGATATACGTTTAAGAGTTCTCTGCTTTTTATTTGTATCTCCAGAATTTTTTTTACGAAACAATTCAAGTTGAAATGATATGTAGTTATATCGGAATATGTGTTTATTATAGTTTCCAAAGGGATCTGAGAGATCCTCGTCCTATACCTCAAGCATTCTCAGTTGAACCCAGACAAGCTCGTATCGATCCCAGGCAGAAACCATCAGGTAAGAGTTGATTCATATAAAGTTTATTTTTTGTATTATATTTTTTGTTTTTTTCAGCTATGCCTCCTGTTCAGTTGCAACCACAACCTGTAAGACCTCCATTACAGCCTCAAACAACTGGACCTGTACCTCTTCGTCCCCCAGTACCCCAGACTATGGCTAACCCTGTCCCAGCTACTGTCAGTCCTGGAATCGGCCCAGCTGGTGCATCCGATCAAGAGAAGGTACATACTCTGTTGTATCAGTTTTATAAAGTTATTTTATATAACATTCTAAAAGTTCTCATACATACACACTCACCCAGGTGCATACAAGGTGTATCAACGATGCATGGATAAATGAGAGCTGTTAGAGATAGGAAGAAAGATTTCAAATAAAAGTTTAGAAAGCTATGAAAGCTAAGGGAAAATAACTACCGACATATGGGTTATCAAATTGTAGCGTCACAAAATGCGTTTATACAACACCAAATATCCTTGAGAATGATGTATTTTCATTTGCTATTTATGACTTACTTTTTCCATACAGTTGTAACCAGAACCAAAGACCACTTTTTCAGTTTTTTCAAATAGAACACTCTGTAAATAGTCCACAGTATGAGCTTGCAGAACTTGTGGAGTCTGATTACTTGATTTTTATCATAAAAGTTTCTCATTTTTCATGATGATCTATATCTATCACATAGTAACTGCTACATCCACCAATTTATCTAATTCTTGATGAAAGTATGAAAAAGACAAGTCAAAGAAAAT